CCGCAGACTCTAGCTCATTTCCTCTTTCTCTCTCAACTACGCATACGACAGACCTCTACACCCAGCGGTGCAGCTAGTCGTGGTAGTGAGAGCTCTTCGCTAGCGGAGAGTATGCGCAGTACGTCGCTATATATGATAGTGAATTAGTCTATACGACTCTCCATATACCATGTGCTCACAGCTGATCCTCAGCATGCACCTTTTAGTTTGACAATTGTCAATTCCTGGGTCTAGTCACTTGTGATGGTAAACATGCAGAGGGGAGCGGGGAGAGCGATGACTGCAGGGGACCGGGGGGGGGGATCGACATACACCACTTTGCAGCACCACAAAGCACAATAAATCACAACAAACCATTAATAAAAAAATAGATAGTCCTTGGAAACCACACTACCTCAGACCCTGGGTAAATCACTCAATCATTCATTCTCTCACTCCCTCACTCAGTCACTCACTCACTCACTCACTCACTCACTCACTCACTCACTCACTCACTCACTCACTCACTCACTCACGCACTCACTCACGCACGCACGCACGCACGCACGCACTCACGCACACACACGCACACACACACACACACACGGCCTGCAACAGGATCATGACGCACAAGATGATTATGGTTGCGACGATTGCCATCCTCATCCTCATCCTCGTCGTTGTTCTCCTCAAGAAACTCCACGTCATCTAAACACATCACACAAACACATCACAATACCCTGTTCTTACTCCTGCCCCTGCCTTCTCCTTCCCCCCCCCCCTCTCTCTCTCTCTCTCTCTCTCTCTCTCTCTCTCTCTCTCTCTCTCTCTCTCTCTCTCTCTCTCTCTCTCTCTCTCTCTCTCTCTCTCTCTCTCTCTCTCTCTCTCTCTCTCTCTCTCTCTCTCTCTCTCTCTCTCTCTCTCTCGCGCGCGCGCGCGCGCACGTGTGTGTGTGCGTGCGGTTGTTGCTTGTCTCGGTTGCTCTGTTCCCTCTGTTGCCACCGTGCCATGCTACCCATCTTGCCCTTCTCTCCCCTGTGTGTCGTTGCTGTTGCTGCCTTGCGTGTCCACCCATTGCCTGCATGGCGCGTTCGTGTTGTTGTTGCGCTTCCGATGCCCCTGCCCCTGCCTTTCCTTGCGTTAGTTCACATCATCCATCCATCCGCCGCCCCTCAATCCATGCAGCGAGCGAGGGTGGAGTGGAGTTGACTTGCAGTGCAGTGCCAGCACATGCCCCAAACACACTTTCCGTTGATCACACCATCACATCCCCATTCGCAACACACACACACACACACACACACACACACACACACACACGCAAACACACAAACCACACTCGAGATGAACAAGACGTTGAGTGTTGCTCGGCTGTTCGCCTCTGTGCGTGCGCGCCCGTCAGCGATGGCAGGGGCGGCGCGGAGGGCGAGTGCAGCAGTGGCAGCGATAGGAACGACAGCGGTGGCAACGCCCGTAGGTGTAACACTGAGCAGGGCTGGTCATCGGACGGGCTTGCGACCAGCAGGAGCCACTGTAGCTGCAGTGATGCGGCGAGGCATGGCAGGTCACAGCAAATGGGCCAATATCAAGCACAAGAAGGGCCTTGCAGACCGCAAGCGAGCACAGCTCTTTCAGAAGCTGTCCAGGTGCGCCTAAGAGACCTAGCTTTGGACCACAAGCGGAAAGGTTTGGGGGGGGGTGACGAGGGTGAAGTGGTCAGTGCAAAGGAAGGGAAGCATGGGCGTGCGCACCAGATGCAAGAGTGTGTGTGTGTGTGTGCGTGTGTGTGTGTGTGTGTGTGTGT